ATCACAAACAACCGTAAGATAATCCTCTTTCCCAACACCATCTTCTTCGGCTATAAGGCTAGCCAAGAAGTAATCACCATGACTTCGTCCACGAACTCCATAAAACGATGAAATGTGGGAATCACTCCGATCTCCCACGAAAAAGAAACAGTCTCCCTCGGAAGTGGAAACTATAACCCTTCCTCTGTAACAGTCGATCGTGGCATGAAATGAAGCCAACCAATCCATCCCGAGAATGACATCAAAGCTAGTCATCTCCAGGAGGATAAGGTCAAACACGAAAGTCCACCCGACTATCACAATGGGACACTCCCGCATAATTCGGCTCAAAGACACTGAAACCCTAACTGGCGTATCAACACTCAACGCCCGTTCCAAGAAACTAACTTCCAACCCCGATGCAAGTGCAAATGATGATGAAATGAAAGAATGAGATGCACCAGAGTCAAACAAAACACGAGCCTAACAACCAAACACTGGAAATATACTTCGAAGAACTGACGGTCCAGAAGATGCATCGGTCTGTGCCAATGCAAAAACACGTCCATGTGGTACCTGTGCCTGAGGACTGCCAACCTGAACACCTGACTGCTGCACTGACATAGTAGGAGTATCCCTCCTAACTAACCGTGAACCTTGTGAAGACATGGCAGGCTGTGGTGGTGGCGGTCTGAAACCTAACCGAACTGTAGCCGACTGAGATGGCCTCTGTCGTGACCCCCTGCCACTACCTGTGCCTGCTCCCTGGCCTGGACAATTACGAATCAAGTGACCCTGCTGGCCACACCCATAACAAGCCTTCGGAGCTGACGAAACTGAAGATGATCTCATCGGACAACTGGACTTGTAATGCCCAGGCTGCTGACACTGATAACAAACAACTGCACTCCTGTCAGATCCAGCTGGCATAGGAGTGGTAGGAGCTGATCTTGTAGACTGTTGTCCCTGAAACTGAGACGAACCACCCTTGTTCTTCTTTCAAGAAGATCCCTCTGAAGATAGCCTTGCACCCCTCTTTTGCTTCCATTGTTCTCTTCTTGCATCTTTCTCTTTATTATCAGCCTCCAACATCAAAGCCCTTTCCACTGCTTCAGAATAAACCTTAATGAACTGTGCCATGATCAACGGCCTCATCCGATCATTAAGACCGGAAACAAACTTCCGAGTCTTATTAGCTTCATCTCTCACCACTTCTGGAGCAAAACAAGAGAGTGAGGTGAACTTATTCTCATACTCCGCCACTGACATGTTCCCTTAAATAAGATTATGGAACTGGTCTTGTAACTCCCATCTTTTGGAAAGCGGAAAATACTTCTCATAAAACAGCTCCTTGAACCTGTCCCAACTCATCTCTTCAATCTTGTACTGGTTGGTGATCGACTTCCACCAAACCTTGGCATCCATAGTAAACTTGTAAGTTGCTAGGATGATCTTCAAGTGATCCTCTGTCACATCCATTGAGGTTAGTTGGGTTTCAACTTGATCTAAGTAGTCATCTGCTACCATTGGATCCGCACTGCCCTCAAACACTACCGGCATCAACTGAGAAAACCCTTTTATAATCTTAAGACGCTTCTGAGCTAGCGTCTCCTCAACTTGAACTGTAGGTTGTGGTGCCGACTGCGACTGAGCAGCAATCGTTGCCCTCACGACATTTTGTAACAAACGATTAAACTCCAGTGCCACAGAACCTTCACCCACTTCTACGGGTACGGGTGTTTCAACATTCTCTCTTCTTGGGGGAACAGCTCTTGGGGGAATCAAGTCCCTAAGAAGCATGTTCTCATCATTTAGCTCCTCCGGATTGGAGCTGGAGCTCTCACCAACATCACCCCTTGTTGGCCTAGGGCCAACTTCTCTAGGTTCCTCACGCCGTGACATCGTGCTATAAAACGAGAAAACGATTCAGAAACATGACACTAAGACTGTGGACGACTCAACAAGAATTGATACCGTACAACACTTAGCATGCAAGACTATGCAAGAAACATTTTAACATAAACAAGTAAACAGTAAGCACATAGGCAGTTAAGCATGCTCATTTAAGTAAAATATCATGTAGCAAGTAGTCAAGTAAGCAACACAAACAACATTCCATGTGACCCTAAGTAGGCCTCTACCCGTCGTCCTAAAGGTTTTCGAACCTTTGCTCTGATACCAAATTTGTAACGACTCAAAACTAATACTTTTTAAACAAAAAAAATTCGGCATGATCTCCCCTAAAAATAGGCCTATCACAACCTGTTTAATTGCATTTTTAACCTGTCATGGCTCAAATTCCGAATTCACGGCAACAAAAGATAATGATACAACCAACTAATCTAGACAATGCTTCAAACTAGGATTATCCATCCATTCATCAACAAGTTGCATACTATCAAATCCCCATCCAAAACATCATCAATACTTTAGTTATATTACATGACAAAGTTCCACAAAATAATTATACATCTTTGCACTTCTAGTGTTTTACAAAATAATGGGGAATATACAAAGATACAAAAGTGGACTTTTAACGCCGTTCAAGCTTGAGGTGGGTTGTCATCCACCAGTTCCTTCCCAAGACCTGAAAGAAATATATATAGATATAGGAGTGAGCATATAGCTCAGCAGGTGACACTTAAGACACAATTCTTATGTCCTAGTGAATCCAAATAAAGCATAGGCCAATGGGAGATTGGGGACATGCATTGAAGGGGAAAAATAATTACAAGTACAAGTCAAATTCAATCACACACAAATGCAAATGGAGTGAGATGCAATGCATGTTAAAGTCACTCCCCGTTTTCGTTCTCAAAACCATTACGTTCAAAGTTAATGTAACCCCCTTTGGTAACCCCGCCACGACGAGAGGAGGATTGGCTACCGTCCATAGGCCCTTAGTGACCCTGTGGTGCCGTCGAGGGGCCCGAATAGCTCAACCACGCTAGGGTACTCTCCCTAGTCCTCCCTAGGCTACATTAACCTCCGGCCCGTTGGTAACCCTGCAACGACCGAGTTTGTCAAAACCAATTTTTTTTTCCAAAACATTCATTCCTAAATCCCCATTTTCATTTCAAGACAACCACTTCCCTTTTTCATGCAACCCAATGAGATGTAGGCTCATGTCATGATCTCAATATAATGACAAATGGGAACTTAGCACAATAATAAATAAGCATGTTCTCATGGCATCATTATAGCATGTTAGTAACCTCAAAAAAAAATGTAAACAACCATCACATAGACATACTTTTCATTCAACCATGTTATACACATTTACATAACTAGCATGTTGTCAATTAAATCATTTTAATCAAAATCAACAATAATTAAACATGCTATAACACACATAGAGGAGCATGATTCATTATAGAGCAAGATTCCATGGCTTAAGATGTCCCTACCTCACAATCCAAGCCGAAATCCCTAGAATAGGTCCTCCAAATTCGAGCTCCAAGGAAGACTCAAAACTGGAAATTGATAGTATGGATGCGTAGAGCTCGCTACAAGCTTCGTTTTGCCTCAAACGGCATCTTAATCCGACAAAAGATGAAGGAGCAATCAACAATGGAAGTTGAAGTGAAAAGAAAAGAAAAAAGGAGAAGCCGAGAGCAGCCGGGAGAGAGAGAGAGTAGCATAGACCAATTTTGGTCTCACAAATCACTTAAAAAGTGATGTGGGTCCCACTTTATTTTATATTTCTTTTCTCTTTTTCTTTTTCATTTAAATCACACCCCCCACCCACACAATTATGTACACAGACTTCACAACTTAAAATATGAAAACATCTATTGCTTTTACTACACAAGCTAGCAGATAAAGAAAATGACTTCAACACAACAAAAGAAGAGAATGGCGACAAGAATGAAAAATAGAAATTAATTAAAAGATGGATTGGAAAAAAAAATTACAAGAAATGCAAGCTCTAACAATAAAATTAGCATGTGGGAAGAAAAATTGGATATATTGAGAATTAGTTATGATGAAATTAAGGGAAAGGAAATTTGCTTTACTGTTGAGAAAAAAAAAAAAGAAAAAGAAAACACCAATCAAAAGATTAATATTCACTAACTTTACTTATGGACCATGTTATTTTTTCTGCCAAATTCCATCCTCTAGTTTCCCAAAATCGCGTTATTTAATTCTACATGAACACAGTTGAACATTTTAAAATTTTTATTGAAAGTATATAGGGATTCAAATTGATATGAAATTTGGCAGTTTTATCGGTTTAATTATTAAAAACTTATTTATTTATTTATTAATTTTTAGAGACGATATTAAATTGGACTGTTTTTAGGATTTTATATATAGACGTTCTCGATATATCAATTTCATGACTTGGATGACTCTTCGTAGTTATTTGTCTGCTTTAATTGCACATTACTCATTCAATCTGTATCAGGTCAGCTTTCTTCATCTCTAATTTTTGTTTCTAATTGTTAATTGCTATGTAATTTTTTTACTATATTGTACGTTGTTCAGATGAATCTGACACATGGTTGTAACTCATTGGTATCTCTTTAATTTCTCAATGGGCAGGTGTATAATATTACTTGTTAGTTTATTTGGTTAAAGTATAATTTTATAGGTGTCAGTAAATTTTCCCCCAATATATATAACTTCCTGAAACAAAATTTATAAAAGTCTTGTTACAATTACTTGGGTTGAATGAGTGAATCCTGCTTCACATCTATTACTTCCTAAGGTAACGACTTCACCTGAAACCACATATTATTGTAACTTTCTTTTTACTCTATAGTTTTGTGTGTGTGTCATGCTTGATTATTGATCTTTCTCCGTTCGATATATATATATATATATTTTCTATCAATCTTAGAACCTTGAACTAGGGCTTGGGAATTAAGAGTGAAAGCTAGTCAGACAAAGGTGGACTAGTGAAGACTGAAGATGGTAACCTTGCTACACAAAATTTGTTGATCAAAGGTTATATATATGTAGTAGAAACTTCATGAAATGCTACATGATAAACTATGAATGTATTCTTTCCATCTCTCTCACACTCTCTCTTCCTTCTGCAAGAACAAATTTCTAATCATGTGGAGCTCCAAGAGAACATCCCTAATATCCATCCTTTCACTTGCCAACTCAGCAGAACATATTACTCCAATTTGAAAGATTGACACCAAGCACTCCTCTAATCCAACAATGTTGCACTGGCTTGTCCTTATAGAAGCAGCTACAAATCCTGATCTGAGTTCAGAGTCAGCAATCGCCATTACTCTATCTGGAAGTGCCATGTTAGCATAGTTATGAAGACTTAAATTGTCTGTAAACATGCTGTTGGTTGGATTTTTTCCTGTAAACATCTCTAGTAGAAGGATCCCATAGCTGTACACATCTCCTTGTTTTGAAACATTTGCGCCCATACCATATTCTGCATGTCCAAAAATTAACACAATGCTAAAATATTTACTGTCCTAAGTTATTTTAATTTCTAATTTATATTTTTAGGAACACTGCATTGCACTGAAATACTAAAATTACAATATGTCAAACTGGTTATGCAAAAGAGTGTCATCTTCAAGTCAGAAAGTTGAGGTTTAGAATAACTTTCTTTTTAGTTCCACATAATCGCAATCTAATTTCACAATGGTCCAAATCTAAATAAATCCACTTAAGAATGAAAAGGGAGTGTATTGAAATACATAAAATTAAGTACTAGAAAGTATGATTACCTGGTGCTACATACCCAATTGTTCCTCTAACTGCAGTGGATGAACGTGACTGCGTTTGATCGGATATACCATCGGTAGTTAGAAAAGACCTCGCCAGGCCAAAATCGCCTACACGGGCACATAGTTCCTTGTCAAGAAGAACATTGCTTGGCTTTAAATCACAATGAATGATTGTTCTTCCACAATGATGGTGAAGGTAATCTAATGCAGACGCCACATCGGTGGCAATGTTTAGCCTTGCGATTAGATCCAAGTACTTTGAATTTTGTTGCTCAGAAAAATTTGGATGTAACCAGCTCTCTAAACTTCCATTTGGCATGAACTCAAAGACCAAAGCCTTGAAATCGCTTCCTTTGAAACATATGCTTGAGCAAGATGTGATGATCTTGAGAAGATTGCAGTGGCGAATGTTCTTCAATGTTTCGCATTCAGCCAAGAAACTTGTAACATTTATGGCATGTTAAATATATATATATATATATATATATATATAATGTTGATTAAATTATACATTTTGTAAAAGTTGGTGGACCTACTCTAGTCAATTTCTATCACATGTGACAAAAAGGCATTTACAGACCCATCTTTTTTTTCCTCAACCAGTTTTCTCTCTCGGCAGTTCTCTCTCTCTCTCTCTCGATTCTTGTTTTCTTTTTTTCTTTTACAACCTTCAACTTTTGATTAGTCCCTCATCTCTTAGTGTTTTTAAGTGTCATTTGAGGCAAAACAAAGCCCACGACGAGCTCTACGCGGTTGTACCAACAATTTCAGTTTTGGTGCTTATTTGTGGATTCGAGTTTAGGACCCAATTTCAAGGGTTTTGTTCAATTTAGAGGTAGGGCTCTTAATCCATGTTTTTCTTGTTCCATTGTGAATTATATCTCTCTTGTTGTGACAAACATGTTTAATTTGGAAGTTAATTGTTTCAATGATTATATAAATGATGTTTAGGAAAATTCATGATTATGAATATGAGTAGAAAAACATGCTTAGAGGTTGTCTTGTTGTGTTTAATATTTTGATAATTCATTTGGAGATGTTGAACATGATGTATGCTTAATTTTGTGGTGTAAAATTTTGTGTTGTCTTGTCGTGTTTAATGTGTTGATAATTCATTTAGAGATGTTAAATATGATGTATGCTTAATTATGTGGTGTAAAATTCTAAATGCCATAATATTGAAAGCATGGGATATATATACATGTACATACCATTGGGTTTGCATGAAATGGGAGAATTTGCTTGAAACAAAAAGGGAAATTTTGGGAAAAGAGTTTTTATGAAATGGTTTTATGAAAACCCGGTCGCCGCGGGGGTACCAAAGGGCCGGAGTGTTAATATAGCCTAGAGGGGACTAGGGAGCCGCCCTAGCGTGGTTGAGCTAGCTGGGCCCCATAATGACGCCGCGGGGGTACCAAGGGTCAGGGACACTAGCCAATCCTCCTCTTGTGCCGCTGCGGGGTCACCAAAGGGCGGGTTGTATTAATAGTTTGAAAATGATGGTTTTGAAATGTGAAAATGGGGAGGGACATCGGCATGCATTTGCATTCCATGGCATTGCATTGTTTGCACTTGAGTTTGGTGAAATGTTGTATTATCCCGACACTGTATGATCCCCATTCCTATTGATCTATTCTTTGTATTGATTCACAAGGACACAAGATGCGTGTCTTAAGTGCTACCTACTGAGCTTTATGCTCACCTTATTATTTAATAATTTTTTTCAGGAAACGGGAAAGAAGTGGCGGATGACTTTCCACCACAGGCCTAATTTGGATTAGAAGACTTCTTTTTGCTATTTTTGTATTAAGTCCCATATTTTTGTAAAATCTTAGTTTGTTATATTTGGTATAGAGATTCGTGAAACTCTTGTTAATATAACTATATTTTGGGACTGTAATTATGATAATTTGGATTAAACGATATGTAGATGTTCCACTATGAGATGAGCCACGTTGAGGTATAATGAACGGATGGATGGAATGTTGGAGTATATTAATTTTATTATGTGTTGGGACAGGTTGGAGGTGTTTTGAAAGGCTAGGAAGGGCCATTGCGTTTTTTTTTTTTTATTTTTTTTATTTGAGCAGGTGGTTGTAGTCCCCTTTTTAGGGGAGATTATGCCGAATTTTTTTTAAATTTTGGCATCAGTTAGGATCGTTACAAAACTCTTGTCGGCTCCACGTTGTTGGAGGTTGAGTACCTTCACAGCAACTTCTTGGTCACTAAATTTGAGATTTTCTTTATAAACAGAACCATATCTCCCCTGACCAATCAAGTTGGCTGTAGAGAATCCATTAGTAGCTTGAAGAAGTTCTGCGCAAGAGAGTGTTGGATACCAATTTCCCAACTGAAGGTCTGAATAGGATCTTCCTTTTCTCTTTCTGGTTCGACAAAGAATAGCACAAAGACATGCTATTAACAATGCAACAGAAAGAGTAATACTGATCACAATAATTATCAATCCATGACCAGATAACTCTGCTTTTTTATCAGAGACTTTTGCAGGATATTCAGGCAATTTCAATGCCTTGATTCCTCCACAAAGCTTGTTATTTCCCAAAATTGAAAACACGTTCATGAACACCCCTTCAGATGGAACTACACCCTCGAATGAATTATATGAAAGGTTGAGATTCTGAATGAATGGGAACCCGCCTAGACAGCTTGGAATCTCCCCAGAAAAATTATTACGAGAAAGATCTAGAACATCAATACCTCTTAATTGCTTCAGAGATGATGGAAGCGTGCCTTCAAAAAGGTTACCATCCATATACCAGAGCTGCAAAACTAGACAATTTCCAAGTGTGCTTGGGATTTCACCTGACAGCTTGTTTCCCGAAATATCCAACTCTGCTAGATTTTTCAGGTTACCTACTTGTGGTGGTAGTGGCCCAGTTAGATGATTATGATGCAAGTCAAGAGTAATTGAAAGGGAAGAGAGATCAAGGACTTGTAGTGGTATTTGCCCTGTGAGACGATTATATCCAAGATCTAATCCTTGTAGGTATTTGCAGTCACCCAAAGAAACTGGCATGCTTCCCTCTAGCATATTCATTGATGAGAAAATAATACTTAATCGAGAGATGTTCCCAATTGATGTTGGAATTTTTACAGAAATGTTATTTTCATAAAGGTAGAGTTCTATCAACTTAGAGAGTTTACCAATGTATCTAGGAATGCTGCCTGTGAGCATGTTCTCAGCTAATTCTAAACTCTCTAAATTAATGAGATTCCCAATCCCCTCTGGGATGATTCCATTTATACTGTTGTAGCTTGGTTGATAAATTTCCAATGGAATTGGGCAGTTCACCTCGGAAACCGTTGCCACTTAAAAGCATACTTCTTAGATTTGCACAGTTGACTAAAGAATTGATGAAACTCAAGTCGTTGTCTTGATTAGTTCCAAGTGTGTTACCTTCAAAGTTAAGCCAATCTAGATAAAGAAGGCTTCCCAAATTCACTGGCACAGGCCCAGTAAAGGCATTTCTAGCAATATCAATAGTTACAATTCTTGAAGCATTGACTAGTGATGGAGGAATAGTCCCAGATAATTGGTTACTTCCCAAAATAAATTGTTCCAAAATTGGAAGGGTCAACCCCAAATCTGGAGGGAGACTTCCATGTAATTGGTTCGAAGCAAGGACAAAGAATTTGATGGATGAGATATTGTAAAGTGGGATAGGAACGACACCGGACAAATTGTTGTTAGACAATTGAAGAATCTGTAAGTCTAAAAGCTGTCCAAACTCGAAAGGAATGCTTCCCTCCAGATTGTTTTTGTTTAGATCAAGTATACGAAGGGCAGAGAGATACCCGAGTGAAGGTGGGATATTGCCAGTAAAATGATTCTTGAAAAGACTCAAATTGAAGAGATTAGACAATGAGCCTAGCTTGCTAGGAATTTTTCCTGCAAGATTGTTTTCGGATATGTTGATGACTCTCAGGTTTAAGCAAGAAGTCAAATTGGTAGGGAACTCACCTTGGAAAGAGTTTATGTTAAGCCAAAGCTGTTGCAATCGTGACAATTGACCAATTTCTGGGGGAATGGTGCCATGGAAGCTGTTGTTTTCGAGATAGATGCCTCTAAGAAAGGTAAGGTTTCCTATATGAGGAGAAATGGAACCCACCAAGTTTTTGGATGACAAGTGTAAAATGGTCACTCTCTGATGCCGATGACTACAAATAACTCCTTGCCAATTACAGAAGTGGACAGAATCATTCCATGAGCTAAGGACCCTGTAGGGGTCCTCGAGAATTTGATCCTTGATGGCTAGCAAGGCTTGTCTGTCTGTCTTATTTGTGAAGCCAAAAGCGGTACTTGCTTTGACATTTGAGGCCAATACAATAAATCCCATATGAAATAGGACAGAAAAGAGTGTGGAAGATGAACTTAATAGCCTTGCCATCATATTTTTTGTGCTATTGGCAATAAAAAGGTTAATAATGAAGAGAAATGGAGGTGATGTGGTTTACACACAAGTCATGGGTGGATTTATATACCATTTCGAAACAGAATCAAGTGAGGAAAACACTATATGCTGTCATGCCGTCCATGGTTATTCTTTCTGCCTATTCCCAAATGTCGGCCTGCAAAATATTCCTTTTTTACTTCCATTACGCATTTCAAATGTTCGCAATTCTGTAATTCAACACATCACGAGAAACTACTTCTCTAAATGCTGTTTTCTAGAGCAGTTTGAGAATCTCGATAAGATAAGCAATTAATTTTTCTGCATAAACTTGCCAGTTATCTAGAGGATGCCTCACTTTTTCAAAATTATGCGCCTTTGGAAACTATAAAAATTAGAATGTTACTAATAGTAGAACTGCTAAAAGCAAACGTACCATTGGTTAATATAGTAAACAGTGATCTGCAATTGTGAAATAAAGAATATATACTAATGTTAAATTTATTTTTAAATCAAGATTATTAGATTTTTTAGAGCTTGTTAATAAGGTTAGAAAGCTGAAGTTGTCGGCATAGTCTCAACTATGATAAAATTTAAATGTAACAAATTTTGATATTCAAGGCTTGCCAAATTCATTGCTTACAGTCTTGGGAACACATTGTCCACAATATTGATACATTTAGCTCTGAATCAGGCATACTTATTATTGATGAACAGTTTTGGAGAAGGCAACTATATTTTTGCTTTCCTCTAAATTGTTAGCAAAAAAAAAATATGTTTCCCCTAAAATTGTTGATATGACATCTTGGAACAATAAGCCATTGACCCTACAAACAAACAAATATATATATATATATATATATTCACGTTTGCTCGATGACACTGTAACGTCTCAAAACTAATACTTTTTAAACAAAAAAAAATTCGGCATGACCTCCCCTAAAAATAGGCCTATCACAACCTGTTTAATTGCATTTTTAACCTGTCACGGCTCAAATTCCGAATTCACGGCAATAGTAGATGATAATACACAATCAAATGACCTCGATAATACCTCAAACTAGTATTACTCTCCCCATGCATCAATAAGGTTTACATGTTATCAAATTCACATCCAAAATATCATCAAATACCTTACATTACATAACAAAGTTTTGCAAAATATACATATACACCTTCACACTTTTAGTGCTTTGCAAAAATAATGGGAGATATACAAAAGACACAAAAGTGAGCTTCTCGTATCGCTCAAGCTTGAGGTGGGTTGTCGTCCACCGGTTCTTTTCCAAGACCTGAAAAAAATATATAAATAGTAGGGTGAGCTATATGCTCAGTAGGTGACACTTAAGACACAATTCTTGTGTCCTAGTGAATCCAATCAAAGCATAGGCCAATGGGAGATAGGGATCATACAACATAGGGGATTGAATACAACATACAATTCAATTCCAATTATAAACAATGCAATGCAATGCAATGAAATGCAATGCATATCAATGACACTCCCCATTTTCATTCTCAAAACCATCACTTTCAAACGTTAATACAGCCCGCCCTTTGGTAACCCCGCCGCGACATGAGAGGAGGATTGGCTAGTGTCCCTGACCCTTGGTAACCCCGCTGCGTCATTATGGGGCCCAGCTAGCTCAACCACACTAGGGCGACTCCCTAGTCCCCTCTAGGCTATATTAACCTCCGGCCCGTTGGTAACCCCGCAGCGACCGGGTTTGTCAAAACCAATTTTTTTTTTTCAAAACATTCATTCCCAAATCCCCATTTTCATTTCAAGACAACCACTTCCCTTTTTCATGCAACCCAATGAGATGTAGGCTCATGTCATGATCTCAATATAATGACAAATGGGAACTTAGCACAATAATAAATAAGCATGTTCTCATGGCATCATTATAGCATGTTAGTAACCTCAAAAAAAATGTAAACAACCATCACATAGACATACTTTTCATTCAACTATGTTATACACATTTACATAACTAGCATGTTGTCAATTAAATCATTTTAATCAAAATCAACAACAATTAAACATACTATAACACACATAGAGGAGCATGATTCATTATAGAGTAAGATTCCATGGCTTAAGATGTTCCTACCTCAAAAATGAGCAAACCCTAGAAAATGGGTCCTAAATTTCAAAGTCCAAAGGGTGCACCAAATCTGGAATTGTTGGTATGGATGTGTAGAGCTCGATACAAGCTTCGTTTTACCTCAAACGGCACCTCAATCCGACAAAAGATGAAGGAGTAATCAACAATGGAAGCTTGAAGTGAAAAGAAAAGAAAAAAAAAGACAAGAAGGAGAAGCAGAGGCGTCTGTCGGGAGAGAGAGAGAAAGGCAGAGACCAATTTTGGTCTCACAATTCACTTAAAAAGTGATGTGGGTCTCACTTCTTTTATAATTTCTTTTTCTCATTTTCTTTTTCATTTAAATCACACACCACACACACCCAATTATATACAAACATCACAGACACCATGGAACTAATCGAGATCATAAATTGGTTATTTAATTTAAGTCTTTTTTTTCCTTTTGACTTTCTAGTTCCCTTCCGATCTGCCCATTGGCATGCTCTCTTTCTTATACACACACAGTCACACAGAGAGACTGCTTCTCCAAAGTATTAAAAAATGAAGTTGCAGACTACCCATTTATCTAAAATGTATGCCAATCCACTTATGTTCATATAATAAATTGGCCTTTTTTTCTGGGCATTGCGACAAATGGTGAATATTAAAGAGTCCCTTTGTATTAGGATATGGTAGTGTTGGATACTTAAATCTGGACCAATGAAATGATCCAAACACGGTCATAGAAGTATGAATTATATCACCTTAGAACTCTTTTTCCTGAAGTTGCGTTGTACCCAACTATATGTAATGTCTCTGTATATATTTGCGTGTGTGAGGTGTAATTTAAAAGTAAAAGAAAAAGAGAAAAAGAAATTAGAAAAAAAAAAGTAGGACCCACAGCTTTTGTAAAGTGGTCATAAGACCATGTTTTTTTTTTTTTTTTTTTTTTTTTTGTCTCTAATCTGATTCTTTCTCTTCCGACGACAGAAGCTTTCTGCTCTCACTTTTCTTTTTTCTTACTCTTACTTCATGAATTTCACTCTTTGATTTCTCCCTCATCTCTTAGTATTTTTAAGTGTTGTTTGAGGCAAAACGAAGCCCGCGACGAGCTCTATGCAATCATACAAACAATTTCAGCTTTTGGTCTTCCTAGGGACTTCGAATTTAGATACCCATTTTAAGGGTTTTGTGCAAATTTGAGGTAGGGGTTCTTAATTCTCGTTTTTCTTGCTCCTATGTGAATTAGATCTCCTAAATTGTTGTAAAGCATGCTTGATTATGAATTAATTGTCTTGAGGATGATGTAGATGTTATATGAGAAGTTGTGATTAAATAGGCTATGTGAATTATATGTGAACGCGTTTATTTGGTTAATTTCTTGTCTAATAGTTGATATAACATGCCTATATTGTTGTAAAATTTGTTAGAAATGATATGTGATAGCATGTGTAATTTTTCTTCAATATTTGTAGAGTATGTTTAAATGTGAAATATAAAATCCCTTAATTCTATGGCATTGTGAAAGCAAGACATACATGCATACCGTGGGTCATGATTGGGAAGATTGTTTTGAAATAAAAAAAGGGAATTTTAAGAAAGTGTTTGATGAAAAGTGTTTTATGAAAACTCGGTCGCCGCGGGGTACCAAATGGTCGGAGTGTTAATATAGCCTAGAGGGAACTAGGGAGTTGTCCTAGCGTGGTTGAGCTAGCTGGCCCTGTAATGACGCCGCGGGGGTACCAAGGGTCAGGGACACTAGCCAATCCTTCTCTTGTGTCGCTGCGGGGTCACCAAAGGGCGGGTTATATTAACAGTTTGAAAGTGATGATTTTTGAGATGTGGAAATGGGGAGCAACATCGACATGCATTGCATTCCCATACATTACATTATATTATTTATATTTGAGTTGATTGTTAAGTGATATGATCCCAGCATAGTATAACCCCCATTCTCATTGCTCTATTCTTTGGTTGAATTCACTGGGACACAAGAGGCGTGTCTTAAGTGCTACTTACTGAGCTTTATACTCACCCTATTATTTAATAATTTTTTTTTCAGAAAACGGGAAATAAGTGGCGGATAACTTTCCACCACAGGCTTAATTTGGATTAGAAAACTTTTTTGCTATTTTTGTTTTAAGTCCCATATTTTTTGTAAACTTTTAGTTTGTTATATTTAGTATAGAGATTTGTGAACTCTTATTATTGTAATTATATTTATGAACATTTGATATTAATCTTGTATTTTGGGACTGTAATTATGGTATCTGGATGATATAGTAGGTGGTTGTACCACTATGAAATGAACTAAGTTAAGGCATGGTGAATGGATGAAAGGGATGTTAGAATGTATTATAAGTTTATTGTGCTGAGATAGGTTAAAAATGCATTTAAACAGGTTGTGGTAGGTCTATTTTTAGGAGAGGTTATGCCGAATTTTTTTTAAAAATTTTAGCATCAGCTAGGGTCGTTACACTATACCCTTATATGTAGGGGTGGAAAAATGGGTCAGAAACCATTAACCCGCCCATATTCACCCGCTTTTTAATAGTTATGGGTCAGAAACTATTAACCCATCCATATTCACCCGCTTTTCAAGATATGTTGGGTAATTTTTAACCACTTAATTTGAGGGTCAAGATGGGTTGAATATATTCCTATCACATAATAAACACACATCTATTCTATATTGCACTCAACTCATTTCTCTCTCTAAAATTCTTTTACTCACAATCCTCTATCTGTAAATTTGTCTTCATCAATCACCTCTCTTTGAGTTTCCCTCTCTAGAAATTTTTCTAAAAAAATTAATAATAAAAAAATAATTTTAAAAAAGTAAAAAAAATTTAAATAATTAAAAATAATAAATAATAAAAATTTTAAAACCTTCCGAAAAAATTAAAAAAACATTAAAAAAATTTATAAAAAAAATTAAAAAATTAAAAAATTAAAAAAAATTAAAAAAAGTTATACTATACCCTTAATATTCATTAACACATAAATAAAGAGAATTCAGTGTCCAGCTGAAAACAGAGTAATCTTTGGTTTAACACTTTGATTTTCATTAATGAAAAGTCTTATTGCAGAGATTAACTTGTTTCAATGGATAAGTAGAAGTGATCTGGAGTAGGAAGTATAATTGAAAATTTCAAGCCGGGTTTTTTATTTTTTAGCTTTGTAAATTAAAAAATAAATCAAAAAATTGATCATGTTCACAAAATAAATTCCTGCCTATATCACCCCCTCTATACTAAGAAACTAACTTACCAAGGTTGTAGCCCCTTCAAGGGTTCAAGTCATGACGTGTGTGAATTTCTAGTCAACGTTCAAAAAAAAAAAAATAATAAAAAAAAATAAAAAAAATATTCATATATTTTACTCATAGCCTAAATTATATTTCACCTTTTAAGCAAAATACTAGTCCACTTCCCAGCGGTCATCTCTCTCTCTCTCTCCAATCATTTACCATCGTCTCTCACTCCCTCCGGCGATGGTGATTTTTTATTTTTCCTTATGAAACATCTGCATAGAAGCAGTTTCATGAACCTATGAGAATGATATTACTGTAGAGGCGATCAAATAGCCACGATTACTCTCATCCAAGGGGTCCAAAGTCTTCTGCATAATTTTGGAATTCTTAATGTTGCACATAACTGCGGCCAGTAAGACCTAACTTAATCTGTAACATCTCTTTCTTCTATGTGTGTGTTGTGTGTATTTATTTATATGTATCATGAATGCACTTTTTTTTTTTTTTGGTTATTTGATCACTTATATTTAATTTTAAATGTTTTTTGTTGTTTGTCTTTTTTAGGTAAGTATGCAATTGAATTATAAGTAAAAAATAGAAAATGTACACAGGGACTTGCATGATTCCATGAAACCCCATTTAATGAAGTATAAAATAAGGAACCCTACAAAAATATTAAATAAGGATATAACAAATTTGAAAAATAAAGTAAAAGAACCCAGATCCCAAATGCACAACTTCAGACTTGGAAAGCATCTGTTTGATTGTGGAAGAGTTAGGGGCAAGGGGATTTATTTAACATTATCATCCTTCACAAAAGTAGATACTCTATAAAACAACACAAGCATCTTTTTCTTTACGTCTCTCACCCTTTTCCTTTTCCAAAAATACATTTCTAATCATGTATAGTTCCACTAAAGTGACGAAAGCATCCATCCGTTCTCTTGGAAATTCAGCAGAACATTTTACTCCGATTGAAAGATAGACACTAAGCACTTCTCTAGTCTACCAATGTTGCATTGGCAGGTCTTTAATCGACACATCTCCCTCTTCCAGTGTGAGTATGGAATCAGTTACCTCCATCACTCTATCTGGAAGCGCCATCTTAGCATAGTTATGAAGACTACAATTGTCCGTGAACATATTGTCAGTGGGCTTTTTTCTTGTAAACATCTCTAGTAAGAGGATCCCATAGCTATACACATCACTTTGTGTTGAAACCTTCGTGTTCATACCATATTCTGCAATTTTCAAATAATTAATAGAATGCTGAAATTCTTAATGTCGTATATCTTTTAGCCTATAAATAAATTTCAAGGATTAGATCACCAAGATGAGGGTCCAAAGGTAAATAAATCTCCAAATCATATGAGAGAGAACATGTTGGAATAGGTAAGACTTAGTAGAAAATTTATGATAATTGATTACCTGGTGCAATGTAACCAATTGTTCCTCGTACTGCAGTTGATGAAGTAGATTGTGTATGATCAGATTTATCATTGGTGGTTAGAAGAAACCTCGCCAAACCAAAATCACCTACATGGGCACATAGCTCATTGTCAAGTAGAACATTGCTCAGCTTTAGATCACAATGAATGATTGTTGTTCCACAATGATGGTGAAGATAATCCAATGCAGAGGTCACATCGATGGCAATGTTTGCCTTGCAGTTAGATTCAAGTACTTTGAATTCTGTTGCTCAGAGAAATTTGGGTGTAACCAACTCTCTAAACTCCCATTTGGCATGAACTCAAAGACCAAAGCCTTGAAATCATTTCCTTTAAAACATATGCTTGAGCAAGCTGTGATGATCTTGAGGAGATTGCAATGGCGAATGTTCTTCAATGGTTCACATTCAGCCAAGAAATTCTTATTGGCTTCGCGTTGTTGGAGGTTGAGTACCTTTAAAGCAACTTGTTCACCAAAATTGAGAATTCCTTTATAAACAGAACCGTATCTCCCCTCACCAATCAAGTTGGCTGAAGAGAATCCATTGGTAGCTTGAAGAAGTTCTGCGTAAGAGAGTGTTGGATACGGATTTCCCAACTGACAAT